CGATTGCGTATCATGTTGACACAGCTCATTTTCAAAGCTGATTGAGTCAAAATGCATTTTTGTCGAAGTAGACAAAGAGACTTTGTGGAGAAGTTACTGTTGCGAAAAAGTACATGCCTCACCCAGAAGCTAGGAAAAGTTCAAATGACCTAAAAGTTACCGTGAATATGAGTTTAAGAACGTCTGGAACACTGAAGCGTCAGTTTGTCTTTACGCGAACATGAGCCAGGTCTTACTTTGAAATTTTGTAAAATAGGCTTACATTTATCCAAACGAGAACAATATTCCTATTGTAGCAGATATGACCAACCAACGCGGGGGGTCTTGACTGGGATTCTTTCAAAACAAGAGTTTGTTATTAAACGGAGATGCGTGAAGATTAGACGGCATTATCATAACGAATGACACTCAATTCTAGTGAAGCTGAGAGATTTAAAAGGAACCCTCTGGATTCTGATGAGTCCTTGGGCACTCTTTACGAATATTGGGCCAAAAAGTATGAATCTGTTATATCTGCTGATTCGTCAATCTTGACACTCAATCTAGTGAAGCTGAGAGATTTAAAAGGAACCCTCTGGATTCTGATGAGTCCTTGGGCACTCTTTACGAATATTGGGCCAAAAAATATGAATCTGTTATATCTGCTGATTCGTCAATCTGTGGTGCCTGCTACTGACCCACTTCACTGCCTAGTTGCCGGAAAAAAGACTCACAGAACAGAACACAACCGCTATATTCCGAGCAAACGAGTGCAAGAGGAAAATTTACAACGGACCCACGCTATTTGAAAGGGACTTTCTGACATTAATCCAGGCTGTCTGATAGGCGTTAGTGAACACCCGTTATTAGTGCACAGGTGATGATAGCCATAATTCAAATCAGAAGGTGAATGTGCACTAATAAAAGCTTTTAGTATTTCTGCGACACGTATAAAAATAAATACAGTGAGAGGATGGGAGCAAGTCAAAAAGGGAACTTATCGGATGCGAGAGTCCCTTTGTGGAAGTCCGGACGGCGGGAACGTGTTTTTCTCCGCAGTTAGACTGCTACACGTACTCCATGGTTGTCCGTGGACTTGTGGAGAGGTTGACGTCCTGCTCCCTGCGCGCGCGCGAGTCTGTGTCTTGACTGGGTTCGGTTTGCGTTTATGTAGGTCCCAGTGCGTAAACGTGGGCGCGTCGGCACATGATTGGTCGCTACGCTGACTAGGCGGTGCAGACAATCGATGTCCGATGAGTCAGCTTAATGCGACGTGTTTGTGCATATGAGAAAAAAAACAAGCCTCGCGATCCAGTGAGCGGCTGAGTTGAACAGTCAAATATGTGGGTGACTGGGTCGCTACAGCTACTCCCCCTCCAGCGAAAGAGGAAAATAGATGCGGAAGACATCCAACAGCATCGAGTGAGCATGGTCGAATCGGTAGTCCGAAGTGGGAAAGGTACCGATGTGAGTGTAAGTATGGCGAAGTATCTTTGAACGTTGACATTATAGACAAAGCCTTGTCCATGAACGTATGTCTTTGTTCATATTCGCCATAAGAAACGTCGAATAAAGAGTTTCAGAGATGAGAGTCCGTCGGGGGTTGAAATGTAATGTAGAACATGAAAAAAACTTGCCAGCGCATTGCTGATGGAGCGAGTGGATGCATGAAGTAGTTCCAGAATGATGGAAGATGGACAGACGCGGCATCGATATTTGGCTGAGTTAATAGGGGGGTTGGTGACTGAGCCGTAGGAGTGTCAGACATGAGTAGAAATATGAATATATGGGAGTCCAAATGAATAATTGTCAGGATTTACCTGAGTTCAGTCACGTCAGGCTCACCAGTTATTAGTGCACAGGTGACGATAGCCATAATACAAATCAGAAGGTGAATGTGCACTAATAAAAGCTTTTAGTATTTCTGCGACACGTATAAAAATAAATACAATGTGAAATGGGAGCAAGTCAAAAAGGGAACTTATCGGATGCGAGAGTCCCTTGGTGGAAGTCCGGACGGCGGGAACGTGTTTTTCTCCGCAGTTAGACTGCTACACGTACTCCATGGTTGTCCGTGGACTTGTGGAGAGGTTGACGTCCTGCTCCCTGCGCGCGCGCGAGTCTGTGTCTTGACTGGGTTCGGTTTGCGTTTATGTAGGTCCCAGTGCGTAAACGTGGGCGCGTCGGCACATGATTGGTCGCTACGCTGACTAGGCGGTGCAGACAATCGATGTCCGATGAGTCAGCTTAATGCGACGTGTTTGTGCATATGAGAAAAAAAACAAGCCTCGCGATCCAGTGAGCGGCTGAGTTGAACAGTCAAATATGTGGGTGACTGGGTCGCTACAGCTACTCCCCCTCCAGCGAAAGAGGAAAATAGATGCGGAAGACATCCAACAGCATCGAGTGAGCATGGTCGAATCGGTAGTCCGAAGTGGGAAAGGTACCGATGTGAGTGTAAGTATGGCGAAGTATCTTTGAACGTTGACATTATAGACAAAGCCTTGTCCATGAACGTATGTCTTTGTTCATATTCGCCATAAGAAACGTCGAATAAAGAGTTTCAGAGATGAGAGTCCGTCGGGGGTTGAAATGTAATGTAGAACATGAAAAAAAACTTGCCAGCGCATTGCTGATGGAGCGAGTGGATGCATGAAGTAGTTCCAGAATGATGGAAGATGGACAGACGCGGCATCGATATTTGGCTGAGGTAATAGGGGGTTGGTGACTGAGCCGTAGGAGTGTCAGACATGAGTAGAAATATGAATATATGGGAGTCCAATGGAATAATTGTCAGGATTTACCTGAGTTCAGTCACGTCGGGCTCACCAATTATTAGTGCACAGGTGACGATAGCCATAATACAAATCAGAAGGTGAATGTGCACTAATAAAAGCTTTTAGTATTTCTGCGACACGTATAAAAATAAATACAATGTGAAATGGGAGCAAGTCAAAAAGGGAACTTATCGGATGCGAGAGTCCCTTGGTGGAAGTCCGGACGGCGGGAACGTGTTTTTCTCCGCAGTTAGACTGCTACACGTACTCCATGGTTGTCCGTGGACTTGTGGAGAGGTTGACGTCCTGCTCCCTGCGCGCGCGCGAGTGTGTGTGTCTTGACTGGGTTCGGTTTGCGTTTATGTAGGTCCCAGTGCGTAAACGTGGGCGCGTCGTCACATGATTGGTCGCTACGCTGACTAGGCGGTTCAGACAATCGATGTCCGATGAGTCAGCTTAATGCGACGTGTTTGTGCGTATGAGAAAAAACAAGCCTCGCGATCCAGTGAGCGACTGTGAGTTGAACAGTCAAGTATGTGGGTGACTGGGTCGCTACACCGTCAACATCGATCGTGCCTCAATGAAAAGCCTGAACGCTGATTACATTCGGTCGTGGCGTGCATGAGCACTCGTTAGCTTTTGCTGAATTGATTGAATGACTGACTGGCCTGGACGCTTGCCGGCTTTCCTGTTGAGTTTTTGGTGGAGCAGTAGGTTCTGGGGGCTCTGAGATTACTTTCAGTAATCTGACCTGTTGATAAAATGTGATCAATACCCACGAAGGAGTGGTGTAAAATAATACTATACCAGTTGTACCGTTTCAATTAGGACCGAGGAAGCATAGAAAACGGTAGGCCAGCCTGCGGTAGAAAAACTTGAGATTTATCTGGTTTGGTAGGGTGACAAACTTTACACAACAAAACACTTCGCTCAGCGATCCAAAACAAGGATACCAGGGAGTTCAACCTAACAGTGAGTAATATCCTCAAAGCCCTGAGCAATAATTCGGTACAGAGCAGCAGAAACGTTTATACGAATGCAAGCTGGCACTGAAGAAAACGGTGTAATCGTGCAGATCGAGTATAAATAAACACGAGAGAGCACAGATTCCTATCACTGCTCACCAGTGATAGGAACGTGGGTAGTAACGGAATGGATCACTGCGCGATCTTCGAGATTGTAAGATCTTTCTTCACATTCCATTGTCAGTGTACAATTCAACAATGAGGGAGCTAGGGATTGACCTTGATTTATCTCGTGCTAAATGCGAGCTGGACAGTGGGGTATCTACAAACAGCTACTCGGTTGAGCACGGAATTTGTATCACTTGACAGATTTCCACGACAGCCTAGGTTTTGTTAAATGATTCGCAGTGATACTCTGATCACTAAACACGGCGTGCACCTGAAACATCCCAAAACTAATGTCACTCGTTTGCTTTGAAACGCATGTTGATTTTTTTGAAGAAAATTCTCTGTTTTCTGAGCAGAATTTGTGTCAGGGTTTTGCTCATTTTGTGGAAATTGATGAGTAGTAAAACGTCTACGAGCTTCCTTTTTTGTTTGAGCGCTATGAACTGCTTTGCGGTAGCTTCAGAAGCAAGCATTCCTCGTCAATTAGTGGTCTGTCTAGTTTAAATTCCTTGGCCAATGCGTCATCACAATTTCCAATGTCAGGGGTATTAAACTATTGTTTTTCTCTAAATTTTGATGAGAATGAACAAGACAGTTGTGAGATGTTTTCTCAGTAGCTGTTCTGCTGTTAAACGGAGAGTTCTGCCTCAAAAGGAAAACGGTATCCTTTTACTTCTACACTAACTGATAAGAAAGACTCGTCAGTTTCGACTTGGTCACTTGTACTGCATGTGGTTTATCCACAGGCAGGCTGTTCCGAAATTCCGGTAACACCATCAAGTCTTTCTAATTCCGTAAGGAAACGGAAGTGTGGAATTGAAAGAACATTGAAACGACGTTGCTTTCTGGAACCGATCGAGAAATTTGCAGGTGCCGCTGTTGAGTACTCTTAGGTTCATCGGTGAAACCGAAGTCATATAGGAATGTATGAATTGTTCCACCCGATTGTCACCACGTGCGTGAGAGCAGGTCAATGTGATTCTTCTGTAAGGAGGTCCTGATTCAGATCCCCATACGACCCACAGCTTACTGAGATAAAACAGTCGGGTAATCGGTAATCAGGTCCTTCTGAGGGGAAGAAGGCCTTTGCTTCGGAATTATTTATTAGAAAATGTCAACTGACAAGTTACAGACTGTTGGACGGGAGAGCAAAACCCTGACATGCATCTTGTTTACAGAACTGAATATCCATCTTCTCCTTGAACGCGCTTTCCTGAACTTTCCTGGTTATTCATTGCTTTTTACTCAAAAGCAAGCAAGTGCTACAGAGCAACTCCATGATTTCCGCAGTAGATCTTCCTTTTCAAGAGACGCAAAGCGTTTTCACGAAAAAACATAGTACTCGCATGCCCCCAATCAGTAGTCTCACCGTTTCACTAGTAGTGTTCGCTGAAAGACTGTGAAAATGCTTGTCTAATCTGGGATGCACTCTCAGTGGACTCAGCCGAAGTCCAACTGGATCTCTCGTCCACGATATTATTATTGAGTTGAATGTTCTCCACAAAGGCTATCTCGGACCTCATTTAGTGCAATATTCTGGATGTGCGAGAAAAAAAATGCAAATGGGGGATATTCCATCAAAAACTTGGCTCGGGCCAAACTATTTCTTACTCTCTGATATCTATTAAGGACCACATGCATTTACCTCTCCCACATTTTCATACTTGGTTTTCCGTCTGAAATAGCTAGTCATGGGAGATTTGTGATTCTCTGATAATTGTGTGATTGCCAAACTTGATAATAAATTTATTCTTGCAGGTTAATCATGAGCGCAGCTAGAGCTCAACACTCAATAGTCTGGGTGTAGGGTGGTCTTATCCTAGAAGAAACTATCCCCCCATTGTTCTCACGGTGTCGGATGACCAGTGGTGGAATTCCTTCAGAATTCTGAAGCCAGTCGTTGAAGGCCGATCTCATTAACCAGCTTTGGCGAAATATATATGGTCGCGAGAATTTCATCTCAGATAAATCTCGTATGCGTTCGAACCGATGCTCGTGTTGATCCTTTTGGTTTGTGAGTCGAGCACCAGCGATTCGTTTTTTTTCTATCCAAGTGTTTCGTTTCAGTTTGATACATTTGCAACATTTTGTTCTTTAGCGTTTGGAGCAGCCGGTGAGTACAAACTAAGAAATTTACCTCAACTGTACGGCATGGAATCAACCGATGAGCATAGTAAATTAAGTGTGAAGAATGCATTGGTGGGAATGGTATGAAGCCTCAAAACATGCTTCCAAAGCGATTTCCCCAGAGTTAGTTTTTTCCAAAAGTTTTAAAACGGCTGTCAAAATCCCCACAAACAGAGTATAAACATTCTCACAGTTTATGTAGAGTGATCTTACATCCGAAGTTGTCCAACCATTTTATCTTCACGCAAAGAACAATCATTTGCAGGTCACAATATTGGGAGTTTGATAACTTACCCATAGATTAATTCGACGTTTCCAAGAATCTAGAAGATTCTCTGGCTGGGTCAAAATCCTACTCACCGGCTTCGGACTCTTTTTTAAAAAAACTCCGGCCCTTGCGGTTGAAGGAATGTGTGCCGTTTGACTGTTTCTAAGGTACATTGCACTGTATCACCATGTGGACGGCACTTGTTCATGGACCGACTTTGCTGATTAACGCTGTCATAACACTACAGAGAATTGTAACACAGAGGAAAACTGGCAAATGAAGAGTGGAAAATGGGCCTACTGGCCTACTAACACCACCGCTATCAACTTCCCACTTCTGGACACTGACACTTTTCCGTGCTTTGTCTGTAATTTTCATGGGAGACGGTTGTTTTCATTTTGACTTTCTATTGATTATTCTGGCCTGTCAATTCTTTTTATGCAATAAACTCGATTGTTTCACACACACACAGAGCCGCCAGAAGCTTGCGGAGCAGATGTTTCCGGTCCGCTTCTAAGAATCTCAAGCGTTGCACTTGGAACCGGGCCCTCCGAAGGATCATGAAACTTTCGGAACGCGTATTCGATTTTCACCAGTAGTCCGATTTCTTCAACGCATGAGTTGAACGCGTCTTATTGCTGGATTAAATGCAGAATATCTTGAAGCTTACGGTGGGCTTTGTCCCTCAAACAAGATAAGAGCTTGTGACGAAGCGTTGCTCCGAAAAAATTGTTCGCATCATCATTAGCATGTCATAGTGATATCATCCACAAAAACAAATTTTTTGGCAACTGAAATGATAAAAACATGCCATCTTAATTGGCTTCACATTACTGCCTCTTTTTGTAACGCTCATTCAGACGACAACGTCCTGCCCCAAACAAGTGAGGTCTTTGATTCAAGCTAGAGTCATATTGTCCAACTCTTATCATATTAGAGCACAATGCACTGTAGTATATCGCAGTACAGTTTGTTGTGTCTTTACAAATGACATATGGAGCACTAAATGAAGGGGTCACGTGATAACTATTATGTAGAAATGTGCAAACGGTTTACGCTGCTAAGTTGGTCCTTGAATTATCTCAAATTCAGTCAACATTTGTCTCAGCATCTCATACCATTTGGACAGATAGCACTTACAAATAGCAAGTAAGATTAGGCAGCGGAACATCAGTGTGCGAAAACTGACACTGTGTAATCGATGATGAATAGTGCGACGAAGTTGTCTTTTTATTGAAGGTTTTCACATACAATCCGAACATTGATTTTGGTTTTATTGAAAGGTGGGACGAAATTCTGGCTAAACCAATACGAAATCGACCCTCAAGCGAATGTGCTGCACGAAGTACACTTCGTGCTTCTTTTGGCATGCTATTCGATATTTGCCATTGAAATATATTTTCTCGAAAAAAATGCTACTCATAAGGTCGCTGAAAACTCTTCGATAGCTCACGATTAGTCTCTCACCCCCTAGGGCTTATCGGGTAAATGCAGCTCCCACGTTTCTTTCGACAACTTGTTCTGCTTGCATCCAAAGTGAACACTATTCGTGAAATAGAATCAATTATACGTTAATTTTGTTGTACTGATAACCTCAGCTGAAACCAAACTGAGTTTCTTACTTGTGATATGAATGCGCCTAAATGATGAGCCCTAAAAAGACCGAAACCGTCTGTGGTCTGTCAAAGAGCTTTCATGAACTTTATGAAAAGCGTCCCATCAAAAACTGTTCAAATAGTCTACCGTTTTTAATGAGGCCTTACAAGCCGAAGAGAGGAATAGGATATGATGGTTTTTTATTACAAAACAGGTCGAATTTACACCCCCGATTTCTCGTTCACCTATCAGATTCAGTCAAATCGAAATATACGAGGCCAAGAAACGTTGCCTCGATCGCAGCCCAGGTTGTTAAATATAGTGTAAATCAATGGTTGCTAGATGTGCAAGGTTCATACCTATTACGGGATAATCTAATTGTATGTGCTCCAGTTGTAATCGGGGATCGATCTGTTTTTGAGAATATTGGCCCATCATGTCCCATGTAGACTTGTCAAAGCTTGATTGCTCTAGATTCGTACACTTAATTCCTTCTTGTTTCCTTTATCCGCCATGCTGAACGCTCTCGGGGACATCTTAAAAAGCACACAGCATGTATATCGCTTAGCAAACAATGGATGGGACCTACCTGATCTAAGTCCCCCAAGCTTCGCCTGAGCCGTCAGGACTCAGGAGCGCACGTTTGTCAATTTAGAGATGGCCCTCAGATACTAAGTCAGTCTACCCTTAACCACTCATTTGGTAGGTTTTACTACAGTGTGCCCGTTACTCAGTCACTGAGCTACATTACTGTGTCTACAGACGGTCTTACCTTGTAAAGTGAACAAACAAGTAAACTAACCAACTAAAACTTAGATACCAGAAAGTTTTTTTACCAGAGGGATGACGTATTCCAACAAGGATGAATCCACCATCTATTTAACGTATGGTTGTTTCCGTCGGGCAAACTTTTTGAATTAGCTAAACAGCAGTCCTGACCTCAGCGTGGCTGAGAAACTGTGGAACTTCCAATGGCACGCAGGTGTACGATTTCATCGTTCCGGAATCGGGCAGACAGAGCTGTCATACGGGCAGATGAAGATCGGCCAGCATTTCATTTTGTTATACTCAGTGGAAGGCTCTTCTAGACGTTTGGTAGCCAGCTGACTAGCAATTATCATCAAAACCGTTTTCAGTGGAACGTTCCGAACCAATCCCGCACTGCGTTGACGATAATATTGTGTTGACTTTTCCTCAGTTCCCCTTGGATGCATCCTTATGAATCCTGGAGTTCTTTCCGGTGTTCTGATTAATTGCTAAAATAAAAAACGTGATAGATGATGAACGAAGCACCAAATTATTACGCAATGGCTCTATTCAGTCTAAAAGTGGCAGTAGTAATAGCAACGATCGAGGGTCACCCCATAATTTTGTTACTGACAGTCTGGTTAAACGCTTTCACACGAAACGTAACATCTTTCTCTCGAGACCTAAAGTGAATATAGAATGTATAGAGGATAATGTATCACTTGACAAAGCTGTTGACCACCTTGAGCAGACTGGAGATGGTGTGTATTTTACAAGCAAGTTGGAAATACGCTTAAGAAATAGAGCCACATATTGAGGAATGACATAATACTCATGAGGATGCTGAAAACTCAGCAGCCCGTTTTTTGGCTTGCCAGTTGATGAAGAACATCCTAAAGAAAAGATTCAATCGCATCTTTCGTGAAAATTAGATTGGAATTCAATGAGTTTATTTCACTCCTTGAGATCATTGACAACATCACCTATTCTATTTACATTGAAATGACCGAAAGTGCTCCGCCCGAGGACAAACTTTGGAATTATCAGTTCTAAAGACCATGTGGTATAAATAAAAGGCGACCTGAAACTCGGTCTGAAAGGACATCTCAGAAGGATCAGTTTTTCCTGCCATCAAACGTTCTCCCCTAGGTTACATGGATTCAAGCAGAAAAGAAAATAAAGCGCTCCTGGTGAAAAACCATTGTGTTTGCTTTTTTTACTCCTGTTTAACATTCCTTTTTGCCAGCCTGGATGCATCCATTACCAACTATGACCGGCTTTCCAATTTCAGATGATTCATGTAGTAAGTTTCCGAAAGAATTTTAACCAATCCACCTAAAAGTGACCTTCCATCAACTTACAAAGGAAACAATCGATGAAGTTTATTCTGCTTTGACTACAACGTACGGCGTAAGTAGTCGTGCCTCAGGGCGGAGCAACGAATGATGAGAATACTCAGTTCTAAATTTCACCACATGTACAACCCGCGAAGCAGTTGATCCCATGTCGTAATAGTCTCTGTCGTTTGTCCAACTTGTTAGCGATTCAACCTCCGTAGATTGTTGATGTAACGCAAAGTTGTAGGAATTCATTGGTGGACTAAAACAACACTCGTGAAAGTACTGAAGTCGGGAGTTTCACTCGCACTTACAATTCGCATTTCATGCCGGATCTCTTCCCACCATCATTGATCAATGAATAGCTCGAAAGAAGAAAATGTCTCGTGATGAGTGAAGCTTTCTTATGAGATGTCATCATCCGAACAGTCAGTCAGCACGTGACCATGTGATGTTTCCGTGATTGAACGATGGATGGCGTTTTGTTCTCGCAGATTGATCGCTAATACACACCGTTAATCAAACGCTCTTGACATTGATGAACCGCTGACCAGAAGGGCGCGGGCGCAATGAGATACGCACTGCTGATGATTCCCAGTGGAGATGCGACTCCTAGATGAACTGTTTATCTGGTTGTATTCCTTTTCAAAAAATAACAGTGTCTACCATGCAGTGAATCCACAATTTGGACCTCATCACTGTTTAGAAAATGGGTTTCATGGTATTAATTACTGCTCTGGTGATACTGAGGGTGATAATGAATTCGTTTTCATTTGTTTGCCGACTCACCGATGCGACTAGTTCAGTATTTTTCATGTGCTTCGTGTTTCTTTGGTTGTCGTTAAGTTGGGCCTATTCCGAAGTTATCCCACCATGCAGTTTGGCGATTTTGTCCCAAAATGATGTGAAGAATTCGCCAACAATAAATGAAAACCTAATTTCATTGTTCTCCAACTTAAAATACTGTGGTATTTTGAGCAGATGTGTTTTCAATCAAGATACATAATGCTGTGACACGAAACAACTCAAGTTACAAGCGGCAGAATAAACGACATACTACTCAAATTGATGGCTGATATCACAATTTTGCCCAGTCCGGTAAACGACAAAAGGTACGTGAACAAAAATGTCAACTCAAACAAACCCCAATGTTGCAAAGAGCTACAAAAGACTAAAACTGAAAGAACAACGAAGGCTTCGACTAATCAACTGATGAAGGGAACTTTCGCGTGCAACCCGACAGTTATCCCGTTATTTCTAACATTATCATTATTAGTACTGTTGAGTTACCGTAAACTAGCGAATGTATTTTACTTCACAGCTTTTTGCTTGAAACCCGACTTTATTTGCCGATAGGATAGTAACGTAATTTACTGGTGTCTGGCGTACACTGCTAATCAATATATTGCTCAGTTAGGCTGTGGCACGTGACAGTTTCCGGCATTACTTTCTTTGGTGGAAACAAGCACAGAGCTTGGTTGTACGTATTCTTTCACTGGAAAGATTAAAATTCAATGTCTACCTCGAATGACGATTGTTTAAAATCCATTGCTCAAAAAGAAATAACAGGCATAAAACAAACCAAGATGACATTGATAATTTCATGCATCATATCGTTGTCTTAAAATTATTGAGTGCCATGTAAAACGTGTCCATGTACAAAAAAAACAAAATTCGCACCAATTGAACGACATTGATCAGAACTGATTGGAGGCGTTTGTCCGGATTTTATGAAAAGGCTATCGTATGCATCCAGTTTATAATGCTCGGGTTTCATACACTGTGACAATCTTACTTTCATTTCATTTTCAAGCACCAGAAAAACCGTACAACATATCTATGGTAATAAAGCGTTTTATGAGAGACATGGTGGTGGCGAATATCTCGTGGGCCTTTAATTCCAGCTGCGCTATATCACATTTCAACGTTACGGGGAAGAATCCTCTAGGAAAAATGATAACTGATTCCACCAAAAAGAAGCACGTTGTGCTTTATTGGCTGGATCATTGCTACCCTCTCCCATTTGCTGTCCGAGCTGTGTCAGCCTCTGGTGTTGATGGGGAGACGTCGGAAAAGTTTATCACTTTCCATGAAGGTAGGTGATCAAATATTTTGGTTTCGAAGGGTTAAACTAAGTGAAAGACATTTTTCGATACTTGTCGCACTTGCGTCATTTCCGTTTTAGCTGTCCAAATGGCTCTGATTGAATGATGCACAAAAGCCAGCTTCTTGAAGCTTACCAGTGAAAGGAAGAAGGCCTTCGCTGCGGAGTTATTTATTAGGAAATGCCAACTGACCGTTTACAGACTATTAAACAGGGAAGCAAAACTCTAATTTGCATCTTAGTTACAAAAACTGAACACCGATCTTCTCCCGAATGAGGCTTCTTGAACTTTACTGGAGATTCATTGACTCCACTCATTCGTCGGTCAAATTCAAGCAAATGTTACAAAGCGGCTCCACGAATTCCGCAACAGATCTCCCTTTTTCAATAGACGCAAAGCGAAATTCTACGAACAACACATTCTACTTGCATGCCTCCCCATCAGTAGTATCACCGGTACACCAGCAGGTCGGCTTGAAATCCGGTCCCCCTATTGTAGGCGTGATAAATAGCATCGTCATTTTGGGACTGCGGCCAATTCAGCAACAAGTCTCATTCAATCAGGTTGATATATCCACATGAGAAACCCGACGATTTAAACAAATAAATAAGACGTTCCTCAGGACTATTATCATGACGTATTGCTACAAACAGGTCGAAATTACCGGACAAATAGTTCAAATGACTCGTGACAAAAGCATTCTTTTTGTTTCAACATTATGATGGGGTATAAGCCATTCCAATTCACTTGATGGCGTCTATTAGAAACCTCTTGAAGCCCACATGAGATATTTATTCAAGGGCGTATTTGATCAGGTGGCTGTTGATCCATTCATTGAGGCTAGCAGTTCCCTTGTGAATGTGTCTTCACGACTCAAGAAGACCTCATCACCACCCACACACTGATTCCATTCAGAACGAAAACGTCAGTGCATCAAAACATCTTGCAGATGTTTAGCGCAGGAAAACGTATGCAAAAATTGCCCAAGAAGTTTTTCGTTTTCAAGGAGTTAGGGGTCTGTAATAATCTCGTATCAGAAACCATAAAAAGCCAGGACGAATCACTCTCTCTCTCTTTTATTTTCAGCGCCAAAGATGCCGACTGACGTCCATGTGCTCAGACTGGGTCAAACCACATGGTCTGTATCATGGAATGACAGCTCACAATGTCAAAACTATTCGGGATACCACTATACTGCGGCCGTCTACGATAGACAAAACCAACGGGTGAAAGAACAAAACACTACCAATCGGTCAACTACGTTGGATAATTTGGACTGGTGTTTGGAATACTGGGTGCGTATTCGTGCAATTGGATCTGCAGGGCGAAGCAACGAGTCGACGGCGGTGAAACTCCAGGAATCCTCAGGTGAATGTGAAAATAAATTTAGCTCATCTGAATGAAGATGCTCCGCAGTGTGCTGTTATCCATTTAGATCACCCCTTATGCTTGATCATAGAAGGAACATGTTTTTTGTATGAAGCGGCCTTTCCGTTACATACATACATAGTGATAGGTAATCGAAAAAACTTTCATAGACTGAAGCCGATATGCACAGAATCTCACGAGGCAATCCATCACCATATCTCCAAGAGTCTGAATTTCCTCCAGGCCATCAGTGGATGACTGCTTTGAAATCTCCTGGACGTGAAGTTGAAATTGTAAATCTAAATGTGTCACATCAACGCTGAACACCATTCGTGCAAAATTCTGACAGCGATTAAGAGCAACGCTGATTCTCCCGTTACTAAACAGATGGAACTCCCACGTGCCTCGACCTCAGGAAGTCCTCTGTTGACGGAAACAATCGACAAGGCATGGGACTTGAAGTTTATCAGGGACCGAATGAAACACTGTATTTCGTGTGCCTAAAAACTGCCATCCGATACGGAGTTTTCAAGCAAAGTCACATGAAAGCGTGACACGTGAACCAGAATTCTAGCCAGCACGTCTTCTGGAAACATCCTATACGTCTAATGAGTTTTGTCTCATCCTGTATTGTAAATATCAGCATATTCAAGAACGAGTTCTCATCAGCATTGAAACGGACCGATCGAATTCGGTATAGCTTTAGGTGCGTCACATTTCGCTCTAACAGTATTTCCTATTCGGAATAACTTCAAACTTCAGGGAGGCCACACAACCTGTCCACAGATGTACTCCAACGGTACGAAAACGGTTCTGTCAGAGTGAACATCTCATGGACGTACAAGTCCGAGTGCAACTACACTGGATTCCGTGTCCGTCTACGTCCTCCTGCTGGCGAGAATATCATGAGATCAACTCGAAACATGTATGTGATTATTCGTTGGGGACATTACTGTGAACCAATCGCATTTCACGTCAGGGCAGTCACATTTTCAAACAAGACAGTGTGGTATAAACAAGTGATCCACTTGGACCAAGGTAAGTGCTAAGTTAATGTGGAATTTTTATATGTTTCTCATATGTTCTTTGCCACTCAGTAGTTGAATGTGGCCTGAAAAAACTTGCGTGGAATGGGGTTGTGAAATTCAGTCAGTTATAAAACTCATCAAATCAACTGATCAGTTTTTTGAAGTGAAATATGAACAAGTTCATCTTCAACCACCCCGTACCCTTACCACACACGCATACCGTTACCGACAGCAAATCTGGACTCACAAAGCAGCAGCAGCGGGCGCGGCGGGAAAATCCATCCTTGCTCTGAGTTGAAAATCTTAAGATGGCCTAGACATTGGTCAGGATTTTGTCAATAGCAACGTATGGCTGCACAAGAATGTCTGTGAAATTAAAGGGTCTGTAGTCCCCTTGAAGTAGAAAACAAACCGGGTCATGTAAAATCACACAGATTAAGCTATCTGCATTGTATTTTCAGAGCCAAACACGCCTACGGACGTTCAGGTCCACAGGATGGCACACACCAAATGGATGATATCGTGGAATGACAGTTCGGAATGTCAAAACTATCCCGCATATCACTACACTGTGGCGGTCTACGACAAAGAAAGCGAACTAGTGAAAGAGCAGAACACTACAGATCGATCAACAACGTTAGAGGGTTTGGACTGGTGTTCTGAATACTGGGTGCGTATTCGTGCAATCGGACCCACAGGCAGGAGTAACGAGTCGATGGCTGTGAAGACCCGGGAATCCGTAGGTGAGTGTGATTACATGTCTGTGGGAAATTCAGACAGCGAGAAATATCATGCGCCTCATACGTGGGCAATGGAATCCGCAATGATTGCTCTAGAGTGTCCAAACAATAGAGCCTGTGTACACAGTTGAAACGAAGAATTTCACCGCATACCCGCGACTCCCATTAATTAAGCGAATGAAAGAATTGATGGACACCATTAAAACTTGGGTAGGTTTATTCACGTAAAACTAATTACGTGGTCTCTATAAAAAACATGGCATGAGCCTATTCACAACATCATCGAAAAACAATTTTGAAAATGTCAAACTTGTTCAGATCGTATAATTGCCCGTCATTGTTCGATAGAAAAGCCGATAGTATGTGAATGTCATAAGATGACATCCCACCGATATTAGAATTGGCGTGCTTGATGGAAATGAGGTCGCTTTTGGGAATATAGTGTCCAAAGCCTACCTCAGACACCCACCATGAGCACAGATTACACATGCTTACCTCGCCATGTATTTGGATCTGCCGACGATTATGAACCTACCCCACGGAATAGTGACGTTGTGGAAATTCCAATGGAAAGCCCGGTCACGGCACTCTCATCTTCTCGTAAGTGCATCAGTGGGAAGTGAAATGAACGTACCTAATTAGCTTAGTGCCAATGGCGTCCATGGATATACAGCTTAGTAGTACTAGACCGCACAAGTGGCTGAGATAATGTAATGATAGCTCCGAATGTCAAACACATCCGGCATGTTACGTTCCGATAACATATGATCAGAAGCAACGAGTCGTAATTGAGTAGAAAGCCAGAAATCAGCGAAAAGACACTGGAACATGTGTTCAGAATACTGTGTAAGTGTTCGTGCAGTCGGACCTGGAGAGAGGTCAACCAGTCGGGTGCTGAAAAGATCTACTCCGCCTCAGGTGATCACGAAGAAACGTTCAATCAATTAACCAAAATTTAAAAAAAAAAATGAAGAAGACCGGCGGTGTAGAAAACCCAGATTATGCTCCGGTTCTTGTATTTTTAAGCATCAAGCGCGCCGACGGACGTTCAGATCCACAGATATGAACACACCAAATTGATGGTCTCATGGAACGACAGTTCGGAATGTCAAAACTATTCAGGATACTACTATACAGTCGCAGTATACGATAAACAAATACAACTGGTTGATGAAAAAAACTCTACAGATCTGTCAATGACATTGGAGGATTTGGACTTGTGTCCGGAATACTGGGTGACAGTTCGAGCAGTTGGACCTGAAGGGCAGAGCAGCGAGTCGGCCGCATTTACGATCTACTCACCCCCAGGTAAGCTTCAAGGTAGTTTTATCCAATAAAACGCGGAACTGGTAAGTCCGTTTGCACAGATTGTTTGAGACACCCATGATTATCTAATGGTTTTACACTGGTTTTTCTCAAGTGAACACTTCGACTTGTCACTCTCATCAACCTTTGAACATGATAGGTTTTGCGTATTAATTTGACAAAGACGAGACGGAGGAATATTTTACGTGGAACAGGCACGTTGCGATGCTTCTAGTGCACGGAATCCAGGGTGCCTAGTACTGCAGAATCTTTCCTGTGTCATAACCAACTAATTGATCAACCCGATCGGGCTGTTTAAGCAACTGGATGTTTCTTCCGACGATTTGAGTTCTGGTACGAATCACATGGGTCTGATGAATTAGCAGGGCCATGTTGGCTATGTCTACTTGTATACAGCACAGGGTTTGCGTTGAAGCTCCGCGAAGGATATTTTGAATGAAGCTTCAATTTTTCACGAATATGCGTTAGCTGTTGATTTCAGACTGCCACACGGTGATCACTAACAGATTCAAACCTACACATGCTACCATATTACTGCTCAAATTAACGGTTGACTATCTCACCTGTCGAGAAATACGCCTACCTGCGGAGTACTAAATTGGGCCAATCCGATAGTGGACTGACTCTGGATTTTAAGTAACCATTCCTTACTCCATTGCATATTGCGCTATTGATCACGACAGACCTCACAGAGCCTCAAGTCTGAGCAATTTGATCATACTCCTGAACAGCGGGTAAATCTCGAACAGATTGCCGTTAAAATCAAA